TGGCATGTCCAAGTGTAAACATCTGGTGGGATCCACGGTTTTCATGCCTTATTTAACATCTCAGCAGCCGAACGTCCTTCCATAACTCAGGTGTTACTTTCTATTTCCCTCTCTTGGTTGAACGTTGAGAGAGGAACTTCATCGAGTGCCACCCCCTCCCCAAGTTCCCACCCTATGTTTTTCTTCGCAGTTGAGCGGGAATACCCTCTCGGTATTTTATGTTCAAGGGACTCCGAGGTCCGAGCATGGCCTTAGACGAAGCCTTTTAACGTGCTGCTCGGGGTGGAGTATCAAAACTGGCATGCTTGACTTACTTTTACAAGTCTTCGTTGAAATTGACATGTCAAGCAAATTGGTGGAAAATGGTGGATTTGAGCGTCAGCATTCGTGAACCACTAGTTATTTAGGTCCATTCATGAGTCTTCCCATCTTGCTCAGGTCTTTTAGTCGACGCAAGTTCATTGATTGCTACCATTCTTAGGTTAGAGCTAACTGTCATTGAAAGACCATGAGTTAGCCAACATGCCTAGAGAGAGAGAGAGAGGGGGGGGGGGGGGGGTAGTTCACCTTTTCGTCTCTTCATGTTTCTAGTTTTTAAACGAAAATTTATTATAGAAAGATCTACAAATTTAATTGTCTTTTGTATTAGAGATTTTTCGTTTTGGATTGATTACAGATATTTGGTACAAGATTATATGAATATTAGGCTCCTTTTGTTTCTTGAAAAATGAATGATTTGAAAAAAGTTTCCTTAAAAATGATCTCTTGTATCGCTTGAAATAATTAGCTAATAAATTTTTTTTCATTATCGAGAACAAATAATATCCAAACATATTTTTGGATAATGAAAAAAATTTCGTTCATTCATTTTTATGAGCAATATAAGCAATCATATTTTGGAAAATATTTTTCAAATTATATATTTTCCGTGAAACAAACAGAACCTCAGTAATCAGAACTCGATGAAGGCAGAAATAAAGTATATGCATGTGATTTCAAATAGATACTTACATTGAACCACCGATCAAAGGCAATGACTGTTGATTGGACCAAATATGGAAAAGCTCTTAGACGATTCGAGTGCATGTGAGCCCATTGCATTTGAGCCCTCGATATTGGTGGTGTCACATGAAACCCACACGATCTAAGAGTCGGGATGCATTGGGCTCACGTGCACTCAAGAATATCTCACAATATATGGTCACCGCCCATTTTAACTTTTGTCAATACTGCATGTGAGCGATTTATATAACTTCCAAAACAACAATCAAAGACATAACTGACGGAAATTTCCTCCAACGGGGAAATCGCGTGCACCTAGAGGGCAAGGTCCATCGGGGCAATAAATAGGCGACGCGACATTAGTTTGGCTATTAAAAATGGGATTAGACAGACAGGTCGGTGAAAATGAGGAGTTGGAGATAATTAGGTTTGTTTATATATTAGGCTCAAAAGAATTAAGAGTAAGGTCCAAAGATCACGGTGAGGATTTTGTAACGTGTGAGCTTATATTCAAAGAGGAAGACGCTCCTTCCATAGAGTTCCCTACATAATTTGAAAGCTCTTGATGGATTCAACATCTTAGGTGTGATCCGGAAGAATCTGTCTTTAAATATCTTCAGAAATGAATGATTGACTTTCTGAAAAAGTAAATGATGTGGGCTTTTTGGGGGCCCTCTTTAGCGTTCATCCCATAATCTTTTGCAATGAAACGACGTGGGTAAATTTAACTGAAGTGACTCTCTCTCTCTCTCTCTCTCTCTCTCTCTCTCGCAAGAGAGCACGAACCTTCTTCAGCATTTCCAACGGGGAGAAATTAAGGTACACGTTATTTAGAGTGGACCAAGCCAACAAACTTGACTTGACTAGAGGGTTCATGTGGCCACAAGAGGATAAGTTGATCGAACGGAAAACGGAGCTTGGAATGTCCGAGAAGTCAATTGGCGATCGCCCCCCCAAAAACAACACAAAAATTAACGGCCATGAGGGCATGTCGACCCAAAAGAACATCAAAGAGAAATCCGAGAGACAATGAAATCCGCCATTAAAAATCAGAGGAATGAAGTGGCTACGGTACCTGTTGTCGCCGGTGGGGTTTTGAAAACCGCTCGGAGAGAGACCGCGAGAATGCGAGGGGAAGGAGGGAGGGAGGGAGTGGAGAGCGAGGAGACCGAGAGAGCTTTTTTTTTTGGCTCCACCTCCACCCCAGAAAAAGAAACTTCTGAATCAGTCCCTCGGGTTCCTCTTATTTGTTGTCTAGCCCCTCCAATAGGGGAACTCGAACGTTATATTCGGTCCCTCGTTCCCTCTTATTTATCAACATGGGTCCTTTTTTTTTTTTACTCTTACTTGTTAAAATAGATAGGTTTTTTTTTTTTGGTTCTATCCGATTCTATATCTATTTTAAAGGAGAAAGAGTGTAATTATTGAACAATAACATTACCACGTATGCTATTAGATCAATATGATTTATTTAGAGTCAATAAGCAAACTGAAATTTTTGATGTATAACGTATTTACGTAGCACTGTCGGACATCTAGATTTTATTAAAACACCTAAGAGAAACTGTGCAAACCCCATACAAAGTACCACCACGAAATACAAATTTCAATACAATTATTATATTGTAATTGATTTTCTTCGTCGCATCATTTATAAATTAAATTTAGATAATATTTTCATGATAAATAATGGTCTCTCTTCTTACAATGCAACTAAACAAGCATATTGTTGGAAGACTTTGACTTGCTTTCAATTGCGAGAATCTTTTTTCCTCCCTTTTCTTTTGAGTAGGTTTTGTCGGCTTCTACCTTATCCCTTTCTTGGCAATTAAGCAAGCAAGATGGTGGAAGACTTTGACTTCCTTTTCCTCGCCAGTCCTTTTTTCCCCCCTTTCTTTTGAGTAGGTCTTGTCGGCTTTTGCCCTTATCGCTTTCTTTGCAACTAAGCAAGCAAGATGGTGGAAGACTTTGACTTGCTTTCCCTCGCCATAGAATTTTCTAAAAGGTAATCAACTCAGTTTCGTAGAAAAAATGATATAGCATCTTAAAAAAAGTCCTTTTTTCATGATAATGATTTCTTTTGCAAAATGCAGATACTAACATGACCTTCTATGTAAAGAGAAATATCTCATTGATCCAATTTGGCATCGCGGTTGGCTTCTGCACCAACATTTTTGTTCTTGAGTTATGAGTCCTCAATGATGGCCAATCGCTGTGTTGGGCTCGACATCAAATCTAATCGAGCTACAACGCCGCGTCTAGCTCGATGCATGCTAGAATTACTCAAACGCGACGCTAGATCTAGTCAAGCGTCATTACAGCTTTGAGCAAGGCACCTCTATTTTCGAGTTGGGCCATGACAAAGAAGAGAGAGAGATAATGTGGTAGAATAAAAGGTATTTTATGTGACAGCTGTATCACATGGTGTGATAAGCCAATGGAAAGTGAGTAATTTTGACATTTAAGCGCCCATTAGGATGCAATTTGGCTAATAACCAAGAAAAACCACCATCCAAAGCAACCTAAACACATCAAAATTGGCCAGATGGACTACATTGGCAAATTGTCAAAAGGTTTATGACTAAATTGGTCAAATTGAAAGGTTTATGAATGAATTGGCACAAGTACAATTGATTTAGGACTTTTTTGGTAATTTTCCCATGCTTTCTTCATTCCCTTATACTTCCCCATAACTTTGATCCCTGAATATGTAAGATGAAAATTTGTGTGTGCAGATTAAGCACGTGATATCAGTCTAATTCCTTACATTCGTAAGTGTATGGAGGAGGTTCGGCTGAATTGACCCTAATTGATGTCGTCGTATTGATATCATGAGAAAGATCATGTTTGGAAAACTGAAAATGATGAGACCCATATAAGTTTCACATGAGTCCCACTAGATTTAACCATCTGTAATGAGTAGGGAATGAATGGCGCATCAGTCGATCATTGGTCAAAGCAATAGGCAAGTGAAGAAAAAGATCATGCAGTTGTCGCACCACATAATGTGGTCTCCACGTGCTAATTCATATATGAATTGCATATAGATATAGTTCAGACTCATTAAAATATATATTGAATTAAATTTTGTTACTTTAAATTCATAACAACCTATTTTTTAATAATTTTAGCTAATTCACTAAATATGAGATTTTTTGGTCGGTACGCTAAAAAGTAGATTTTTGACCATTTCAACACCTTCAGGGTGAGAGGCTTTCATTTCAATGGGAAGGGAAAGCAAAATGTTGTCCATCTTCACTTTGATTTGCACGGCCATGTGATCCCATGACAAAGAGAATTAACAAAAGGTGAGGGTCCGTCGGTTAAAGAAGTAAAATTTCCTCATCAAAGACGCACAAATCCACGGTAGCATTGTGTGTATCCCAAGGCACATCTGGCTCATCTTTTGAGGCAAGAAGAGAGGTAATTTTCGATATGAACACCTTGCAAAAGTTATTAAGTAAAGGAGATAATTCTGTGGCTCTTAAGGAATAGCATCATGTAAAAAAGTTAATTTCCACTGTGATTTGCTTGGCCACGGGATCCAATAACAGAAAGAGCTAACAAGTGAAGTCTACAGGGGGGTCGTCTTGCCAATTTCGAGGAAGGGATTGTTTTGGTGGTCTTGGTCAAAATGTTAGAATCAAAGGAAGTACAATTGCCTCGTCAAAGAAACACCATCCACCGCAAGATTGCACGTCTCCTTCGGGGCAAGAGAAGAAGTAAAAGCTTTATTTAAAGTCCCAAGTGCTCGTGCTTGAAGAGGAGAAACGGCTATCACCATAAATCACTGAGACGCTCGTTTTTGTTCCGAGATATATCTGGTTTTGATAGCTCCAGGTTGAGGCGTGAAGGTGTGATCCTCATATCGCACTACCTTGCGAGATTCGGATACAACTTGATCTGCTTCAAGGCAACTTCTTCTCAAACACTGAAACCTATTGCAGTAATTTCATCTCTACATTGCTCCTCAAGGTAAGCTCGACCTTCATTCTCCAGTCTATTATCATTGATAGGACAAAAATACATTTGATTATTAATCATCACATAACACCTAACATCTTACATGTGATATTCTCTCGACTTTTTCAAGATTATCATCACATATATTGCTAATTTTTCTTACTACAACCTTCTCATTTAAACTAATTGGTTATGAATGGTTAGATTGGTTGAATATGGTGGAATCGCATGCTAGCCCTCATCCCGATTTTGGGTCCATCGGCCCCATACATACACCAATTGTCCAAAATTACTTAAACCCTAAAACATCCAAATTCTCGATTTTTGTAGAGAAAATTCCTTTTTTTTTCTTGAAAACAGTTAAAAACTAGATTTTTCCAAATATTGATTGTGCTGGTCTATTCTCTTTAATAATCACACAAAACCTTTCAAAGGCTACGGATCAGAATTGTCAACAAAAAAAAATTATCTGAACATATCAGATCGACTAGAGAATTTTTGGATGTCCATAAAACCATTTTCCATTATATTGGCAATTTTTCGTAATTTTTGGAAAATGACAGAAAATTAAAATGTTTTTCTGGATATTATGAAAAATTAACAATTGTACTTTTTTTTTATGCTGGTTACAATGGAAAACTTGAAAGGGAGCAAAGCTGCTGGTTTGAATGCACTTGCACATATTTAATGCGCAGACAATTTTTAGGTGGACTTTATCTTTGCAGATTGTACCAGAGAAACTCATCACAAAGCGTGGTTTTCATGCGATTTTATTGCTTATAGCAAAGACGTGACTTTTACGTGTACATATAGCGTGGAAAATTACTGACCTACGATGGATTTGACAATATGATTTATGCATGTTTAGGGCAGGGGAGGAGAATGTAGCATTTTACAGGAAGTAGGAACGTATTTGATAATATATATAATGGAAGATTCACAAGCCGGTTAGAGCCACATTTATCTGTTTAACAAAATGGTTTTTAAGTGGGGATATAAACAGAAGTGGTCATTTCGTACTATGGTCCAAATTGTATGGCTTGACTTTGGCTTGCCATCTGAAAACAACTTCATTGCTACTAGTCAATCAGCAATAGGATACCTGTCCATCAATAATAATGCGAGACTTATCGTCTTCTATTGACTGGTCCCCCTCTCTCTCTCTCTCTCTCTCTGCTGCCAGTCAATCAGCAATAGGATACCTGTCCGTCAATAATAATGCGAGACTTATAGTCTTCTATTGATTGGTCCCCTCTCTCTCTCTCTCTCTCTACTGCTAGTCAATCAGCAATAGGATACCTGTCCGTCAATAATAATGCAAGACTTATCGTCTTCTATTGATTGGTCCCCCCCTCTCTCTCTCTCTCTCTGCTACCAGTCAATCAGCAATAGGATACCTGTCCGTCAATAATAATGCGAGACTTATCGTCTTCTATTGATTGGTCCCCCCCCCCCCCCCCCCCCCTCTCTCTCATTTCTCACTTTATCTTTCACATTCGGCCTCTCTCTTGCAGAAATCATTCGAGACTATCGTCTACTGATTACTCCTCACTTGCTTTCTCTGTTCTTTTCCCCCTTGAAAGTTCTCGCCCAGGCTTGTTCAGGGTCTCCTCTCCCCGATCTCGCGCCTCTCTTTGCATCTCAGCTCGCAGGAGGTAATCACTTTTTCATCCCTTATTAGCGTGTCGTTTCTGTTGATTCTATCGCTTTGTTATCGGAATAATCGGCTGAACTAAGTGTGTTCTGCCGCCCTTTTAGTCTATAGGAGATGTGGGGTGGCTGCTGAATAGCAGAGGAGGGTCTTCTATTCTCTCTTTTGGAGCCGCTGTTGCCTGTTAACGAGGTATGTCCCCAGCTCAGATTTTGACTTCGGTGAAAGAAGAAAGCCCTTTGTTTTGGACTTTAGATGTGGCTAATCCTATGATGGCCTTGCTTTTTGATTGTTAGTTGCATTGTAATTCGGTATTTGATCTTTTGTTGAACTAGAACGAGCAGGTCTGCAAGTGCGCTAGACTCTAATGCGCGCAAAATTGCCACATTTCGCTTGAATCCAGAGACCATTATTTTTTATGTGTTGTGAGGTTTCTCCGTGTTTGAAGGTCCTAGATCAATTTATAGAAAAATAAAACATAAAAATAAAAGTAGGCAGCTTCCAGGGTCGACTAGTTTGGTTCTCGGTTACAAAAACGGAGAACCGATTATTACGGAATAAATTCCCGATTCGTAGGTTAGAACCTACTCATCCTGAAACTAATCATCTTAAGAGTAAGTCTTCTCTTAAGGAGATTTCATTTGACAATTTTACCTCCCTATAGAACATTCCAAATGAGTAATCTTCTTAAGATCTTTTACATGATATCCAATAGTAAGAAAAAAAAAGCTAGCTGATCCTATGACGCACACATGAAAACAATCAAATAAATCAAGCCATACACACAGAGTAGGAGATTCACCCAGCTTTATATCACTTATTTCTTTCACCTCTTTTGTTACAAACAATAAATTCGTTCTTCAAAACGTGACTAATCAATTTAACCTGACTTATCACAAATTTAGCCGATAGTCCTATTCTACTTCAATTTAATTTAATAAAAAAATCTTGACGATGATATTCTCAAGGTGGGCCCTTAAAAAAAATGGGGACAAGCACTCAACGCCATTGTTTCAAACCTTGGTCGTCTCTGAATTTCCCTCAGCAGCTTCCTTTTTCTTCCTTTCTTATCTTCTTCTCCTCCTTACATCGAATCGATACCTAATTTCTAATCGTTCAGACTAACATGGAGAAAGGGCAAAGTCAGAGCAACACAAACAAAGAGATGCGCCGTCTCATTTCAGGTCGTTCCTTTGTGGTGCTTCTTGCGTCTCTATGCTCGTATTCACTAATCTCAATAAGAAGAAAAAGAGTGCATAAAAAGAGAGAACTGAGGGAGCATCCACTCCTCCGTTTGGTGCCATCTAACAAATTATAGCTCTATTTTACAGACAAGATATCAATCAACTCTTTAGATTTGAAATTTTGAAATGAAAGGCTCGATGGTTCAAAATAAATTCATTTCACATGGAATGGGAGCACGTGGTGCCGGCGTGGAATAGATGAAACATAAATAACCACAAGCATTTGTTTATCTTTACCTCACATTTCCAACTTCATTAAGAATATGACAATTTTAAACAAGATTAAAATACAAATTCACATCCACAATTACTAGCTCTGACCTTTCTTGACGTCTTTCACACATGCTAATTCCGTTTCAGATCAATTATTATCTTTTGATTGATATATCAAATTCTAATTTTCAATAACCAAATAAAAACCGAACGTATGCTTATATTTTTAATTGAATGCAATATACTGATTCTAGTTCTTTATAGCCAAAATGAAAAATTAATGTACACGTTACTCGTGAGTGGATCAAGCCAACAAGTTTGACTTGAATAGGGTGAGGTCCAAAATAAGATAAGGCGACAGCTAAAAGCATATGCAACTACTCCTAGTCCATCAATTACCAATTAATTAAAGATTTCATGTTCATTTTTTCTTGCGTGGTACCAGATTCATGTTCATACTTTTTCGTAGAGATTAGTTCATCGATCCTTTTATGCAGCAGAAAAGCATCTTTCGTTCCAACTTTCGCCCTTAGATTGCCATGCACAAAGGGCAGAGTCAGAGAAAGAGGAAAATTGATAACACTTCATTCTCTTTTTTTACTTTTAATTTGTGTTCATGAAGGTTTCTATGTGTCCTGAATTCATAATTCAAAAGCCTTTTGGACGTTACCTCTAAATATTGCTGCTTTCTTCTAAAAGTAAGCCCATACACTTCATTCCCTTCTTTGCTATGTTTTTTTTTCTAAATCATCTTTTATTTTTTTGAATATTTCGCATACTTCTTTGTTCATTGGTTTACTGACTTTTCAAGAGCTGAATGTTATGCCAACAAAATTGTAATAAAAAATGACCCAGAAAAGAACTCAAGTACAGTGTCCAAGTATTTCATATATCATTAGTAACTTAATACTAGCGCGTTATGCTCATTTGGTGTCATTTAACAAATTATAGCTCTATTTTGCAAACAATTTATCAATCAATAATAATATAAATTTGAAAGTTTGAAGTGAATAGCTTGGCAACATCATATCATAGATTCATCTTATATAAAATTATTGGCATGTGGGGCCATCATGAAATAGATAAGAGAGAAATGACAACAACCATTTGTTCAACTCTACCTCACATTTCCAACTTCATTAAGAATATGACAATTTTAAATAAAATTAAAATATGAAATCACCAAATTTGAACCAATAAAAGAAGTGAAGCAACCGACCCCAAAACGAATAGAGAAGCAACATTCACACAAAAACAGAAAAGAACATGAGAGAGAGAGAGAGAGAGAGAGAGAGAGAGAGAGAGAGAGCGAGCAAGGAAGCAAGAACAAAGACGGTCTAAGATTGATTGACGTTAAGCAAGAGGGAGAGTACCTTGTTCCAAGCCATTGGAAGAGAGAGGAACGTATCAGCTTGTCAGGAAAGCTCGAGTTTTCTTGGAGAAATAAGATCGAGAGACTTGGTACACTTTTAGCAATTTTTTTTGTTCGGAAAAAAAAATCAAGTGAAAGTTTTGTCGAGCGGTCCTTAAAGACCGCGAAAATTCATAGACTTTGGACATTCTTTTTTATCATTGATTTTTGTGAGCGATATGTTACTAAAGGAACAACTAACAATTCATGTTGTGTCATGTCGAGTTAGGATATAACACGAATATGGCAAAACCCAAATAAGACGTGTTTAGTAAACACATTGAACTGCCACAATACGAACACGACACTTTTAATAAAGCAGGTCAAATGACACGACACGACAAATGCAATTATTAAACGTGTCACCATATGAAATGTCAACACGACACCATGCAATATGCTAACCTGTATACATGCAAAAAGATGCAACACATTGCATTACATTTAAAGAAAGAGCAAAATTGCTTCCCTTGATATTCCAATTACAGGTCAGGCGCAACCTTTTGTATCAATATTAATCCTATGTAAGAGCCATAAAATTTTATCTCACAAAAAGCTCCAAATTTCGAAGTACTAAAGCCATAAATTTCAGAATCTAAAATTAAGAACAAAAAAACAAGCAGACCATGAAAGAAGAGAGGGAAAGTTAAAATTCCTCGAAATATGTTTGGATACATGTTGGGTGGAAATAATGTAAATGGAACTTAATTTCATTGATAGACTTCATTCTATTCATCCTTAAAAAGGAAGTAAGGCCACTTTTGGAAGAAAAGTGCAATTTTTGCATTTCCTCTCATTTTTTTTTGGTAAGGTAAGTATTGATATAACTTTTCAACGCAATTTACAAAGAGTAGCCGAACACAAAAAACCCCGCACATGAAGAGACACAGATGTGTGTCCCGACTGGTGCAAGGGTGTACCGACTAGCCAACGTAAAGCAGCAACACAAGCGTTGCAAAACAAGGCCAAACAATAGCCCACGAAACGAAAGGACAATAATCTAAACCACCTGCGAGAGGGTTATACAAAAATAGAAGGCGAGATGCCCCAATTAGATTGGATCGTTCTGTTGCGGGGGGAGTCTTGTACAGTCTTGAAGGACAATCCTCTGTCCCTAATGAGCTGCATTTCCTCTCATTTCTATGCACTTTTAGAAAGAAATAAAATGTGTGCCCAAAAGGAAGTATTTCCCTTTCATTTAGAATCATTTTTATCGACATCCTTCATAATTTAAACAGCTGAGCAATTGAAAATTTTTCCTCGTTTAATATTTAAGCTTTAGTTAATTTTATATATGAACTATGCCTAAAACTTGAAACCCACCAAATTAAAAACGTGATTGATGGAAATTTCCTCCAATTAGGAAAGTGCACGCATCTAGAGGATGAGGTTTATTGGGCAACAATTAATTGGCACTGGGATTAAACAGAAGGCATTGTGAAAATGAGGTTCCTACATAATTTCAATATCTTGAAATATCATAGATGTGCGTGAAGTTACATGGTTGTTCGAATGTGTTTTAAGGAAGTTTACTAATTATACTTCAATCTGATTAAATATTTGAATGTGTTTCAACTATGTGTTTCTGAACAAGTAAATGATGTGGGCTTTTTGGGGGCCTCTTTAGGGCCACCTTATCTTCCGCAGTGAAACAACATCAGCTTACTTAACTGATGGCCGTGTCTTCATTACCTATCTCTTTCTCAAGAACACAAACCTTCTTCAGCATTGCCTCGGGGAGAAATAACATGCACATTATTCGGAGTGACCAAGCCAGCAAAGCATTTGCAGAAAAGCATCCTAAAAGCATCTTTCGTTGTTCATCAATCCTTTTGAGCAGCAGAAAAGCATCTTTTCGTTACAACTTTCCCCCTCAGATCACCATGGGCAATGGGTGGAGTCAGAGAAAGAGAAAGAGAGCAGAGGAAGAGAGCACTGAGGGAGCATCCACTTCTTCGTTCATCTCTCTGGTACCCACAGGACAAGGTGACGATCAATACGACGTATTCTTGAGCTTTAGAGGCTTAGATACTCGCAAGAAATTCGCCAGTCATCTCTACCAAAGACTGGTCAATGCGAGGAATGTACCTATTTCTGTGTTCAAGGACGATAACAGCATCCCAATTGGCGAGGAATTTGATTCACAGATTTTCGGTGCCATCTCACGGTCTAAGATTTCGATCCCCATCATCTCCAAAAATTATGCTACGAGCAAATGGTGCCTCCGTGAGCTCATTCATATGATGGACTGTAAGAATAGCATGTCACATATAGTGTTGCCAATTTTTTACGAAGTGAAACCATCGGATGTGCGGTATCTAAAA